TAGTTGCCCTCCCCTCTCCCACCCTCTCTCTTCCCCTCTCCCACGTCCTTTTCCCAGTCTCCCCGAGTTTTGTTCAATAAAGAGAGATTCTATTTTTGACCACACATTTTCTTTATTTTGTACATCAGGAAGGGGGGCTAGGACTTCCCGATGGGGAGGACTGGGCTCGCTCTGAGGGCTTCTGGGGGTGGAAGCTGTCCTGCAGCCCCCCAATTGCCTCCTCTCCCCAGATGGCAGCCTGCGGCAAGTGCAGCCGGTCTGATGGCTGAGTGCTGTGATGTGCCCAGTGTGGGCACTCAGGGCACTCCAAGCCAGGATTGCTTTGCAAGTGGGGCACCCCTGAGAACTGTCTGTCCGGGCTGGGGGTCGGGACCCTTTAAGCACAGCCCTCAGCTAGCCTGAGACAGCATCTCCACGCTCTAAGTCCTCCTCTGATGCCCTGCCGGCACTGCTTCCGGCCATCCTTAACCCCGCTTCAGGGTCCACTTAATGTGGACTTGCTAGTTCGAATTAGCAAAACGCTACTTCAAACTAGTTTTTAGTTCTAGATGTGTTAGTTCGAATTAGCTTAGTTCGAATTAACTAATTCGAACTAAGTTAGTTCGAATTAGCGCTGTAGTGTAGACATACCCTTACTGATTTATACACTCTCCTCACTACTGAGAAAAAACAGAAATCTAACCTCATCAGCAGGACTACTGGCAGGTGCCACAATTTCTTCTTCTTGGACTATTTGAGCTGGAACCTATATGACAAAAAAATAGCAAATTAACAGAAAGAATCCTAGCTATTCGCCACTTTTCTGTTACGTTTGTTTTGGTTTTCAATTTCATTTTAACATTTTTTTAAAATTAGTCTACTATGCAGTAATAATAGTAAAATACTGGCTTCATAATTTGTGCTTCAAAATATGTGCACAAAAATGTATGTAACTTGTAAGGAATAGTAACCCTGATCTGGCAGATTTTAGTTAAGACAAAATTCTCTTTGACTTCAGAATTGAGTATGGACTTCAATAGGAATTTTGCTTAAATTTGAAAGGTTTGGCTCAAAGAATTTAAATAACTAAATATTTATATTTCATAGCAGTAAAAGAAATCCAGTTAATAAATAATTTATATCAACTCATAAGTAATATTAATGTTTAAAAGTGAATTAGCACAACCACAAGGAATGAGTGTCACATTTACAATAATAAAATGATTATAAGCACCTTCCATAATTCTGACATGGCTAATAATAGGTTAGTAGAAGGTTACTGAGTAAACAGATCATTTAAAGAAGTTTACAAAATAGCATAATTATGACAAGCTCAAATTTAAATCAACATTAGGCTGAATTTGGAATAAAAAAAACCTCGAGAAAATAATTCTAATAATTAAAAGGAAAAATCTCATTTCTACAATAAACCACTAAAAGTAAAAAGTGAAGTAAAAGAACAGTTAATCATGTTTTTTCTGCTGTACAGTGAGAATATAGATTAAACATAGTGGACCACAGTCTGTACTCTCTCACATAAGGGGTTACATTTAGAGCCCTGCGTGAATACAAAATTTGTATCCGCATCTGCATCCCCAAAAATGAGCCACAGACATACATATATACATATACAGATAACCACAGATGTAAAGCGGATATTCACAAATTTGTAAGATTCTAGATACAAAATTTGTATCAACAGCTGCATTTATATCTGCAAAAATGAGCTGCAGATAGCGGCATCCACATCCACTGATGTGCATTCCTGGAGATATAATGCAGATATCCATGGATCTGCATGGCTCTAGTTATACTAACTTTGTTGGGATTAATTGTATGACTAAAGCATGCGGCATTTGGTCCATTGTCAGGACACTTTAGTTTCCTTCGCAATGTTATAACGCCACTTTCTCCATGGAAACATGCGTATTTTACTTTGCAAGTACCAGCTAAGCAGGTGTTTTGTAATTTTAAAAGAAAAATTAACTGTAAACACTAATAGAACATAGTGAATGAAAAAGAAGAGGGGCAGAGAGAAAGTTTAGCTAGCAGGGTTTGTGAGAACAGAAAGCTGCAACTTCTCTGTATAAAGTAGAGGGATTTCATTTTGGTTGGATGGAGTAAAATACATTTTTGGCATCTAGCTGACTAAGTCCATTCAGAGTATAAGAGAAGGAAAACAACTCAGAGTAATGTAAAGTAGCCTTAAAGCAGTGATAGCCTTAGTTGCATTGATTTTTCCAAGCATAAAAATATTGATTCACCTCCAACAAGCCAAATCCCCAAATAAAAATAAATCATCATAACTTGATGCTACAAATATAAAATCCTATCCATGGACCACCTGGCAAATAGGGGGGAAAAGGAATGTGTATTTACTGTGCTCTGTCTTACACACAAATTCTATATTTTATATCATATTTCATTTCTTTCTGTTTTCCTCTCTATCTTTTATTATTTCTGTTCCCAGCCTCCATTTGTCCCATTCTCTCTCTTTCCTTAGGACCTTTATCCTTTCCCCCCCTTCAGGGCTACCCCATATCTTCTGATCTCCTCCCATCTCCCTGAACCACCAACTCTCCACAGCTCTCTTTCTTTACCATTTGCCCTTCTCTCATTCATCCTGTTCCATTTCCTAGAAGTTTAACTGTGCTGTTTCCATTGATATCCTCCAGTAAAGCACACTGTACACCAGTCTTACAATACTTACGCATATACTATTGTAGTAGAGGTTTCAAATGGGTTAATTTCCCAAAGCTGAGGGAAATTATGGGCAAAACTAATTGGAAGGAAACATTCAGATGACAATACATGAATGAAGATTGGAAGCTCTTTAACACAAGTTTCCTTGACGGCCATGTAGTGAGGTGGAGTGGCTTCCCACTTATGCAGAGGGGAAGAAATTGCCCTTAAATCCAGGTGGGTGACGTCAGGCCAGGCTCAGCCCTCCCACTGGAAGCTAAGGGGCAAGACAGACTGCATAAAGGAGGAGCTCTGCAGCTCAGTAGGGTAGGAACCGCTGGAGGAGACAGATGCCTTCTTCCTGCTTCATGGCTAGAGCTCAAGGAGGATCCTGCCCTACTGAACAGTGGCCAGAGCAGTAGCCACCAGCAGGTGGTGATGTGGGGAGGAGGGTGCACCAGGGGTCACATATGACCCTCAGGCAGGGAACTAGAGAGGCCAGAGAGACCGTGTGTCCTCCCTGCACTCACCGGCAGCACGCGGTGGGGAAAGCGCAGCAAGATGGCCCCAGCTCATGCTGCTCTCCAACCACGCTGCTTCTGGTTGTGCGTGGGCGGGGGGGTGGGAGAGAGGATCCCACCCCTCCCCTAGAGTGGCACAGCCCCACTGCAAGCTGAAGCCACCTTGCTCTAGCTTGTGCTGCTCTCGGGCTGCGTCTCTCTGGGGAATGGGCAGGACCACCCTACACTCAATGAAAGTGGTGTGGTGCTGCTGGAAGAAGGGGTGAAGTTGGAGCAAAACAGGGGAGGAGCAAGGGTGGGAAGAGGCAGGGCTTTGGGTAGATGGGGATTGTTCCAGCCCTTCCCCAGGTTAGGGTTGGGGCGCATGACTGGTGCCTTCCCGAGCCTCCTTCACCAGTCACCTGTGGCCTCCAGCCAACTGAGGCAACAAGGAGTTGCCAAGTCTACCACTGCCTATGTAACCTGGGGAAGCAGAGGACCTCATGGATCCTGGTACACCCTGAGAGGAGGGGAGGAAGTGGCTCAGAGAGAATCAACACCAATGCTGCACTGCTGCCTTAAATGCAGTCAGTGTGTTGTGGCTGGATTTCCCATTGACCTAAAGGTAGAATACTGCCATTGTTAGGGGCCTGAGCTGGGCTGGGCCATAGTGGAGTCAAGTGAGCACAGGTCCTCCTACCCCATCACCCCATTCCTGGTGTGGCAGCCTGCCCATCATTAGGACACTAGACCAGCATTAGTCTGCCACCTACCTGAGCCAAGGCGACAGGCAATAATTAGATTGCCTACTGCTCTATCTGCCTCAGAGGTCAGAGAAACCCTTGTGTTATGGGGTGTCTGGCCAACCCTCCAGGGGGGAGGGTGGCAGACCTCAATGACCCCTCAAATAACATCCACACCACGTGTGTTCATGCCACCTGTGGTCTTCTCCAACCGTTGGGCCTGTCGGGCAGCCTCTAACCCAGCCTCTTTCTCACAGGGCACATGGCCTAGCAGCCAGAGTCAACAGGAACACCCCTCTCCCGCAGGGCAGTGTGGACTACCAGCCAGAGTTTATTACAATTCCCTCCTCTCTCAGGACACTGCAGCCTAGCAGCCAAAGTCTACAGTTATGCCACTTTTCTGCAGGGAAGTGCAGCCAAAAGCCAAAGTCTGTAATAACTTCCCTCCTTTTTCAGAATGGTGGAGCCTGGCAGCCAGAGTCTATAATAACACCCCTTCCTCAGGGCAGAGCGGCCTAATAGCTAGAGTCTGTAAAAACGCCCCTCTCTCGGGCAGCACAGCTTAACAGCCAGAATTTGTAACAATGGATGTGTGCCCCCCTCATGGGGTTGATGACAGGGAGGTAGAGGGACCCAGGCCCACCTGCTCCTCCAGTTCTCAGCCCAGGGCCCTGTCAGTGATGATGTGGACCACCACAAGCTCAGTGGGATTCCAAGCTCCTGGGGAGCTCCCTGGACTACTTCCTATTAGGGATGTTAAGGACTAGTCAACTAGTCGAATATCTGATAAGCAAATGCTTATTGGCTAGTTGACAGGATAGTCAACTAGTCGCTTATCCCCCCCTTACTGCCTCTATCAGATGGAGGCACCAAGGGCAGGGGAAGAAGGGGTACTTCAAAGCGGCAGCATCACAGGGAGCCTGCGCTTTGTGCAGCGCTGCCACTTTGGAACACTATTGCAGCATTTCAAAGGGGCAGTGCTTCATGGAGCCTGGGATCAGCTGGAGTCCCCAGATGACCCCAGGCTCCGTGTGGTACTAAGCCTGGGTTCAGCTGTGCAGCACTGCTCCTTTGAAATGTTGCCACAGTAACGTTTCAAAGGGGCAGCGCCGCCCTATTGACTAATCGAATAGTTGATGTAGAAATGCATCGACTATTAAATTAGTGAAATACACGCGACTTAACATCCTTACTTCCTACCAGTCTCTTCCGGGTAACCCTTTCTTTCTCTCTACTCTGGACTTGCTACCTCATCTACAGCCTCCCACTGATTGGCCTCTGTGGCTTGGTCCACTGGTGGTTCCTTTTCAGGAGCTCCAGCAGCATCTCTTTCCTCAGTAGCAGTCAACCCACACTGAGCAACTCCGCAGGCCTTTATAGCTGGCCTGCACCCGGAGCATGCTCAGCAGGGTTGTAATGATGGGGCCTTCTCAGCCAGGTCAGCAAGGTTAATCCTCCCAGCCCCAGTGCAGGGTTGATACACCTTGTCAGAGTCCTCTAGACTGGTTGGTGTCTGCCTCGCCGGAAACCTGAGTTCCTAGACTATTTGGTCTCCTGTTCTGCTTAAGTGCCTGTGTCCTGAGACTAAATAGCGGCTCTGCCCTTGCCTAAAGGCCAGATCTCATACTGCCTAGTTGTTTGCTTTTTCATATGTACTGGTTGTAGTCTAGCCGTGTTAGTCTGGTCTAGCTGAAACAAAAGACAGAACTATGTAGCACTTTAAAGACTAACTATTCCCTACAAAAAGAAAAGACAATAAACTTTCTAAACTGCTCCACAGCACAGGGTACAACAGCAACTACCTCAACCCAATATTGTTAACCTCTCTAGCTACAAACTCA